ATAATTTATAAAAAAAATACTCTGAAATTCACTGAAAAGGTATCAAAAAATGCAATTCGACATTTTTACAAATGTTAGCTGTATTTAGTTTCCATTAATAATAATTAATGAGATACGTTTATGTCTTCCTTTCAGAACCGTAACATGGAAATCCAGCCACTGCCTCCAGAGATGCGGAGACCCGCAGCGTCCAGAGGAAGATGCCTGTCCCTCCTGTCATCCCCGGCGGGCCAGCTCCAGAAACCAGCTCTGCTAGTGAGCGAGGAGCAGCACAGCCTTCGGCAGTGGATTTTGCTGACGGGGGAGGGGAAGAGTCCACTTTTCCTCCCTATAAACTCTCCCAGGGACTCACCACATAGACAGTAAATATTTGGAGCTTACCTTTTCGAGCAGTATTTTTTATTTGAAAAGATGTAGATTGTAGGGCAACGGAAAACTATGAGACAAACTGCTCTGTCTTGTTACCCTAACTCAGGCTCTGTTTAGGAAGTAAAAAGGCAAATTCAGACTACGTGCATCTCATTTCTATGGCCTTTCTAGACAGCCACTGATGTTCAGTGTGACAACTGCTCTGGGACGGCAGAGACACCTAGTGGGAATGAGATTTTCACCGTGGCAGCTCAGCAGAGACGACACCTTTTAAACTACAGCCTTTTCAAAATAGTGTGTTCAAAAATGATGCCCAAGGGCCGAAAGGCTTCTCATATCATTACTATCCCTGCAACCATGCATCCCCAGTCTATATTTCTGAAGAAGCAAAACGATAGCAAAGTAGCGATTTTCATTTTCACCTGGGTTTAAATCGTGGCCTAACCATTTCCAGCTCACGAGGCGCACACCTTGATGGGGGGAGCCCAGCTGGAAGCGAAGCACAGCTCAGCGCTGGTGTTAGCACTGAGCTCCCTCCTCCCCTCTCTGGGCTGAGCTTCAACTCCTGCACCCTTCCTGAAAGAGCAGACATATCGTGTCACATCTCACCCCGGAGTGGCAATTCCAGAGTGACTCAGTGTCTAAGCCTTGCTCCCCAGCGTCACATAATCTGGCCCAGCCACTGCTACTCTTTTTTCCTAGGTCTTAGCAAGGGAGGGAGACAAGGAGGGGGGGGGACGGTCAGGAAAAAAGAAATTGGGCAATGCTGTGCTAAGTCAAAATTACAAATGGTGAATATTTTAAATTCTGGAGTAATAATACTTCTAGCATTGCTTTTTATTACTGCTGCAAGCTGAAGAGTCGCCGCAGCCCTGTGTCATATGTGGATTAAGTCATAGGTTCAAGCTGATCTCTCCTGAAACAGGTTTCTAGAGTTCAAGGATCTCCACTAAAAATAACTTCCTTCTTGTAACTTGACAAATGGAAAACTGTAATCATTGAGAAGGTTGGTTTTGGGTTACTGATGGAAAAACGGCCTTCGGGATCATCCAGTCCTGCTCATATCAGAGCGACTGAAGCAGCAGTAGCAAAATTCGATCTCCTGGCTGGCAGTGTTTTCTTAGATACCACTATTTTAGTAGCAAAAATCTTTCTAAAACGTTGTAACAATAATAATAATTTAAAAACTAAACACAGCTCCTTTTCAAGGAATTATCATAATAAAAAATAGTTTTGGAGATGCTGGATGACTCAAGAAATCAGGAAGGGCTAGTGAACATTTTACCTAAAAGTTATCAAATCAAAATCAGCCTGGTTTGATTTTAATTGACGGTGGCTGTTCAGCAGGCTAAGTGAAATGAGCTTGCTAATGTAATTTCTAGGGGTAGAGGTCTTTGCTGACTACCAGAAGTCTGAATGGCTCAAGTTACAGCATTATCTTTTCACTCTTACACACCATTCATCTGAGTCAGATTTAAGGTAGTTTGGCATCAGGAGGAACTTTGTGTTAGAGCTGATTGTATCAGAGACTCCCCGTCACGAGTCCTGAATGACAAAACCATGTCACTGCCGTCTCTACAGACTGCAAAACACAGCTAAAAGTCCTATGTTTTAGTTGGATAACTAACAAACAGCTCTTTTCTTTCCCTTTCTTAATCAGGAATCCATTCCCTTTCACCAGGAGCACCAAGCAAAGTGGAAAATACAAAAACAAAAAAAAAAACTTTCCGTAGGCAAGAGTCCTAAATGCTAAATGTGAGAACATCAGAAGACCTTAGAAGCAAAGAAACTAAGAAAGTAGGATTATTGTCGAAAGGTGTCACTCTTTTTTGGATCAGGAGAAGCATGGCTTGAGAGTCAGCAGTGCATTTTTCCAGGTTAGTGGCGATTAATTTGTATACATTGATACGGGTTTCATGTCCACATTACGACACAGTTAATTAAATTTGTATCTGGCTGATTAGGTAACACGTGGAATGGTGGAGTGCACATGTGTTTGGATACAATCCATTTATAACGTGTCCAAGTCTTGTAAAATAGTTTTAAGCAGTAAGTTTGTCAAAATTCTCCTTAGTCGTGCACAGCTGGTTACAGAGTGAAGTTTATTTCTGATGTTGCTGCCTTCTTCCATATTTCATTTCTGATACTCAAATATCTGCCTACCTTTGACAGGAAAATGAATAATTTATCACAGGATGCTATTCAAGTAAAAGCAAAATAGTTTACACAACTTGAATCAAGAGTGCTGCAGTCTAAACATTTACACTTACAACCCTATGACTGGCCTTATACAACCTTTATTTTACTCTACAGGAGCAAAGGCAGTGGGACAGCGTCTATTTTTGCTGAAGGTTTAAGCTGTGGAATCAGCGACAGCAGGTTATCGGCAAGGCAGAGCACTGATCCAGCGCCCCTTCCATAGGGCTCAGCTTCGGAAAGCACTGAGCCTCCCTGCAAGTGAATCTTGCAAAAGGCCACTCATATCTCGATGATCAGTGTTTTGAATATTCAGCTTAGCCGTACCCAACGAGGGATCCACAGTAAGATTAAAACTCACTTGCAAGACACAACATCTGGCATTGCTAAGGTCGCTAGTCAGCTCCATGTGAGCTCTCACCTCCAGGACACACACTTGAGCATCACTGACTTGCTTTAGGCACCTTTAGAAATCTGTATTGCATGAACTTGCAGGTTTGTAACAACAAGGACAGTACATTTTCTAATTTGTAACAGATGGTATCTAGGCAAAAACTCCATCCTGACAATTCCTTCATCTCCCAACACCAATAACTTCATAAACTTCAAGTATGCATAATGAATGTTCAAAGTAGGAATTGAGATAGGGTGACAGAATATAGGGCCTAAAATAGAAAAAACCCTCTTCTTAACTGTCTCCAGACAGACAGACACTGGGGCAATAAACAAGTTACGTATTTCATGAAAACTACTGAGTTCTGAGTAATTATCTGTTGGTTATTCTGGTCACTAGTCTGCAACTGGAACTATAAAAATCAACTTCTAATGATTTGCTCCGTGTTTCAAATTATGTTTGGCATATTTCAGTACATATTTCTATTCAGTTCAGATTATCTAAATGCATTTCCATTTTCTTTCCAGATCTTGCTCACAATTCTCCTCCAGCATGGACTTGCTGGACAAATTTAGTTCTTGATTGATAAGCAATAGTAGGTACACCCCATTATTACCATAACAGACCAGTTTGTAGAATTTTTTAATATCCTATAGGGTTGCAAATTACATAAAAGGAATCATTTTGCATCCAATAAAAATACCAAAAATTATCCAACATGATGTGTGAAAAAGAGGAATTTACACCTGTACCTTACATGGATATCAAATAATTTTTATTTACTATGAAAGAAACACAGAAGGAGATTAGAAGAGAGAACAATGACAAACATTTACCATTTGAAAATGCTGAAATGAAACAAAGGAAACAATTTTTTTACCACTTTTTGTTGCAGACAAGGTAGTCTTGAAACACAGAGAACCACTTTAATGCAGGACCAAGTAAAACTAACACTGTTCATAAAGAAAAAGTAAAAATGTGTTAGAATGCAAATTTAATACTTTTTCCTTTTACATCAGTGATCTAAAAAAAATAAGACAACCAAAGCACATTTCCAGAATCATCCTCCATTTTTTTTTTTTCACCACAGATCTGAGAACAAGGAAAAGCAACACAAAATGAATTTCTTCATTCACATGGGAAAGCTGATGCAGGTAATTTCCAATGAGGTATGTCCAGAGGTGGGGGGCTTATTTTAGTCTTCTACTTACTTAATAGTTTTCTCACAGTTTTGCTAGATACCTCAGAATAAATACTTTTGTATTTTATTTGGTTGATTTCTGGCATTTAGTTGGATGATGGACAGATTTTTTTTGTAAGTATACTCAGGATAAATTCAATATGTTCAAATAGGACTAATCTTTTATTATTTTAAAGTCAAACCTGGACAAACGGAAGCTTCATAGACTGAAAGCAGTCGCTTTATACAGAAATAGGTATGCCATTAGTCTTGTTTGACAAAGGTCTGTACCATTACACACAATAATATTTGTATTTCCCATTAAGAGTTCATAGAAAGCTGTCTTTTCCAGATTACCGAATAATTTAATGTGCTTAAAATTGCTCAGAAAATAATATTTCTTGAAACCTGCTGAAAACTTTACAAATTTGTTGTTACTAAATTATGCATCAATTTAGCAGAGCCCCTCAGCAAGGAGACTGTCCACAGATGTTTGGGATTCAAAAGCTGCTACCGCAGTGCAGAACGGAAGGAAGAAGAGATAACAGCGATATCATTTGCCCTGAATCCTCCTCCAGCCGCAGAAGATGTAATGGCCCCGGGCGGTATCGCTTGTACTCCTACTGTCTGAGCGCTGGTAAATCTGAACTTTGACAGTCTTATTTTTTCATTTATCTTTAAACTGCTACATGGTTATATATATTTTTTTGATTTGGTCAGGTTTTTTGCACCCCAGAGGAATTCAGTACAAAAAAAGAAAATTACACTGCTCCGATAGCCTTCCCATCTACAGTGGGTAGCTCAGCGATACAAGTCACCCAGCAATGAGTTCGGAAGAAAAACGGAGGATAGAACATTCTTGTTTGTTCAGATGAAATATTTATTCTCTGTACAACTCATACTAAGTGTTAAAATCCCCTCAAAAGAGAAAAATAAAACAATTTAATGGTAGGATTTCTTAGCATTCGTGGAGAACTAGTATGTGATGGTCACAGCAGTTCACTCAGGCCACCGGACTGCCCATCAGTCTTTCTTGCCGAAGAGCAATCAGCCTCTGAAACCACTTCTCTTCTGCTTCTGCCTTCTCAATAAACAGCTGAGAGACAAGGGGGAGAGGAAGAAAAGTAGGCGCAACTCATTAACTTTCTCTTTATTTGTTATAATCTGTTGAAATATGTATCAGCTATTTCAGTGCCCAAAGAAAAAGCCCAGCTGCATAGGGGTGTTAAAATACAAAGGTGATATAAATACATTAGTAAAGGTAGAGACTTTAACAATTGGAAAGCCAAGACATTACAATTTCAGCCTCCTCCTGAAACAGCAAGTTTGTCATATTGTGTAGGTCTTGATCTTTGTTAGCGATGTTCATTATACAGAACTTGCATTAGTTCATTTACTGCAAGTCATTTTTAACTTGCTAGTTCTTAAAAAACCTCTACTGTAAGTACTCCTATTTCCAATTACAAGTGGTCACAAAGGAATCTGCATCAGTTTAGCCACAATGATTTAAAATTATCTTAAGTTTGTCATGTATTTAAAGCTTTACAATTTGGCAAGGTGGGCAAGTTCTGAGTCTTCCACCAGGTTTCCCACTACACAAACCAAAAGCAATTTTTCCTAAATTTTTATTGAACAGGAATTTTTATATGAACAGGATCTTAAATTCCCCTGCATTAAATGAGTATGCTACTTTGTTATAAAATTTGTTTGTAACTCTAAAACTACATCACTGGTGAACAACTTCTTTTGTAATTATTCTCTGTTGGATGATGCAAGGAGCGTGATCCTTTCTGAGCCAATGAGTGGCCCATTAGTTAATGGTCTTCAGACCACAGATTATTTGATGAGCAGCACAGCAAAATGGTTGTTAGGTCACGTGAACCTGCTCTCATTCAATGGGCTTTCTTGTTCTAAAGATAAAGTAAATATCGACACACTTACATTTGGATGTGCTAAAGAATTATCATCTTGATATTTGATGGCAGTAGGGATATTGGCAGGTGGTGGTTCTTTTTCAGGAGCAGATGCATCACCAGTTCCCACTCCGATAGTTACAGGTTCGTACTGTAGTTCAGTAGGCTCTGCTGACTAAAAAGAAAGAAACACATCTGAGTATTTTATCCTCAAGCTCCCAAACGTGGCAGTATCTTAACCGAGCATTCAGCTTTCTTCCCATTGCAACACGTGCCCGCAAAAGGATCCTCATGCAAATACTTCCCAGCGTGCATAGCAGGAACACACTGGACATGGACTAATGTCCAGACTGAACACATGAAGTGCAAAAAAACGGTATTGCCAAAGGCAGTGGGGGAGCTTGCAGAACCGTAGCATTGGGGTTTTGGATCACTTCCTGAAGAAGCTGCATGAACTTCTTGGAGACTTCTGGAAAGGCAAGAAAATGCATGTTCTGGGGGAAACAAACAGTGATAATTCAAAACACCTCACCGTTAGATGGAAAAACTGAACCAGCCTTTGCTTGCCTACTTCCAAGGACAAAAGCATCCGAGTTCCCTAGAAGACTTGGCAGCCAAAATGCAGGTAAAATTCTGAAACCTGGATGTCTCATGTTAGGTTTTTGGAAAGCTGTCTGAAAACAATGCCGTTTTGTTTCAGGGACTAAATGTGGTCTTAAAGTCTGGCTTCAGTTACGCAGAATTAAAAATACTGATCTCTACCTTTAATTACAATGTAAGTGTTCAATTACTTTTGGATTTTAATTCTTCTGCTTTTCCTAAAAAAAATCTTCATTATTTTATACGATTTTAAAAGAATTTTTAAAAATCAGAGTTGCTCAGCATAGGTAGCATATACTGTCAAAACAGTTGATTTCTTTGAAATCCTTACACATTTAAATGTCTTCTCCCTTGAACTCCACACCAAGAACATAGAAGAGTCGTTGGTGGGATTCAGGATTGTCAACACTGATGCTCTTTCATGGATGGAAACTGTATTAGTAGCGCAGCTTCCACCTGACTTTGAAAGGATTATGCACCAAGAAAGGATATTGAAAACTTACCTTTTTGACTTCTTTACTTGATCTGAATGTCTGTGGAACAAAGGAGTCACTTTCAATAGCTTCAATTTCTTTTACTCGTTTCACTTGCTCTACTAGGGTGGCTTGGTCTACAAAGAGAAGGTGTAATGTCAGTATACATTAGTGTAAGCCTATGATAAATGCCGTGTCTAAGCAATGCCTTGAATATATTTTACAACAGTACATACCAGAAAAGAAACTTGTAATGCAGCCTAAAGTGCTCTGTTACAAAGAAAAACTCTCTCCTTTAGTAAAAATAACAACAGTGAGTTGGCCATTATTGTTCAATGTATGATATCATTCAAAATGCTAACTTAAGAATTTGCTAGAGATGTCCTCGCAGGATAACTGCTAGATTTATGGCATGAGGATTTCCTGGAGAAGTTAAAGATTTGGGGACAGTGCAGACAACTCAGTGGAGTACCATCTGTACGTAGCAGTAAAACTACTTCTGCTTGTAGGGAGGTGAATTTGGCTTCAGCTGCGGATGTCCGGAGAGATGTGCCATCATCTGTGTTCTCTTCATGACAAGCTATGTGATTAGTTTGGCATTAAGAGTTACACCGTTAGGTGAATTTGACAAAAAAAACCTTAGAATCTGGTAATAAAATATTCCTAATGTACACACTAACTATTGTGTGCTTATACGATTCATAGGTGACAAAATTGCAGCTGTCTAATCAAATGAGCAAAATCGCTTCTTTATTGTACCGTGAGGTCTCACAGCGCACATATATTTCACAAGATATTTTTGAATCCCAGGTTGAGATTTTATTTTGATGACGCGAATGCAGCTCCCAGTGACATTATGGTGAAGAAGAGCAGCTCCTGCCAACCTTAGTACAAGCTACGCTAAACACGTAACTGGGGTGCTGTCAGGTAGGTTTTGCCAGTTCTTTCACTGCTCAACCAGACAATCTTCTGGATAGATTAGACTGGTAGGAGACTAAGAGCATTCACAACGCAAGATGTACTTCTTTTTAAAAATCAAACTACTGATGGATGACAGTGAAGCTTCCTATTACAGCTATGTTGATCTAAGTTGCCAAAGGGATGGTCCGACTTCTCTCTCCCCCGTGCCTCTTGTGCAGTCTGGCGTTACTCCTTTCGCCAAAAGTTAAGTGCTTAAATCAGCTCACTTGTAAGGTGAAAGCTCACACTACAGCCACAGTCCAACAAAACAGGACATTGTCTCTGAAACTCAGACTTAACATGCGGCAGCAACATCGTGCACAGGCTGATCCAGTACAAACTCTTCTTCTAATTCAAATTTGTTTTTAAAAGGTTTTGTGCTGGTAGGCTTGATGTCAGAGCAGGTATGTCTGCACCAGCCAGAGTTCAGAGGCCAGCTATCTGCTAACACTCTCAGTATAAACTCTTTTTCTAGATGGCTCGAAAGAAAGTGCAACTGTGTCTGTCCATGCCTCTGCAGGTCGGTTCTGTGTGGCTGAGTGATCTGGTACTGAGGAGGTGAGCTCATGAGTCACAGAATCATGGTCCCGAGTGACAAAGTAAAAAGGAGATTGCCAAAAAGATGAGGAAAAAGCAACTTAGGATAACCGTGAAGTTTGATCGAAAATTTCATGAATACACAAGAATACTTCAAACACTACATAAAACACAAATTTAAATAAAAGAGCAATTGTAATTATATATTTGTAGTATATACATCTGTATGTATAAAAGGTTAAATTTGTTGTTCTAAAGAGACCAAAGGATATTTAAAATCAGGAAAAGTGCTTGCAGACCAAAAGAGCTTGCAGAATTATTCAGAAATTCAGATGTACCAAATTCTTTCTCTGTATACAAAACTCTAAATCCAAATTCATGTAGGTATACACATACACTGCAAAATACTTTCTCTTTTGCACAAGAAAAAAAGAAACTTAACTTCTATCCTTCTGCAATGACTAACCACTGAAAACTCATTTGAGTCTATTAATGACAAGTAAGCAGAGCTCCAGATGAGCAAATAAACTAATAGCAGCTCAGAAATATTTCTGGAATGGAGATGCCCACACTAAATTAACAACTCATTTTTTATCAACAGGTTGTACCGCAAAACTGCTTTCTTTTCAGTCCTGGGTAGTGTGGCTTGTTCATTACGGTACATCTGACACAAAGGTATTTGCTTTACTGTCTGTTTCATTTTCTGCTTCTTCAGATTCACAGCTCAGTTAATCTTCCTTACCTACTTCTACGTCTAACTGCAGTGACAAGCAAATCTTGAATTCATTCTGCCAACTGCAAGCTTTCGTTTACAATTTTAACCAATTTATCTCCATCTTATTTACTTATGAAAACCATTTGCTTTCTACATAGTACATTGGGGCCAGCCTGAAACGGTCGAGGCACTGTATCAGAGAGTAGTGGGCAGTTTTTGCTGTGAGCGGCATTTATAGAACAGGTAAGGTAGACAAAAGATAGGAAGAGATGTAACTGTCAAGCAGCAAACAAGAACCTGCCCCGTTGCTTAAAAATTATTTGGGAATATTGTTTAGTCTCTATGGATATGATGAACAGAAAAATCAGGGACATGCTAACTATTTCTGCATACGTTGAATGTGCAGAAAGTCAAATACACTGATGCTGAGTCTGGATAACCGCTTACAGCACTCTGACTGCTTCAGGCAGTGAGCTCGTACCTGATGTTTTAATAACTTCACTGAGGCCAAGCACGAGGTTTGCACCACTGCAGGAAACACGCAGCGAGCAGTACGCTAAAACCTCCCAGGGGAAGAAAGGCTGTCTGGATCCCAGAGATGCAGGGTTTCCTCAGCTGGAAAGAGAGGAGAGAGGGTGATAGCCGGGAGGGACATGGGCAGAGATGTGCTGGTCCCTTGCACGGCCAGCCACGTGCCGCGGGAAGCTTTACTGAGGCTTTGGCTTTGGCAAGGCTTCGGACAACAGCTGCACTACAGCAAAGTGCATGAGTACATCTTTAAGCCCGATTCTTTTGAATTTAGAAGGAAAAAATCACTCGCTTACAATTAAGCTTGTGTTTAAAAGTTCTGTTGCCTTGCTGCTAACGTCTTCTTTTTTAAAAAAGATTCCTAAGGATCCCATAGGAAGTATAAAAACAAATATACTAATGCCCTACTAGGGAGAGGGAATCATAATTCATCAAGCTCTTGGGTACATCTGGTCTGCGGGTAAATAAAGGAATGGTAAGTGTGCCTGGTAGTCACAGTGTTAAAACTAGGTATCAGAGAAAGGCAGGTGAACGTGGATTTAAAATCAGTTGCTCAACTCTTACTTCACAAAACCTACAGTCAGTTCCCAGCCTGTTATTAGTATCTTACATGAATCTTATACAAACCTACGGGAATGACAAATTATTAAGGGGGCAAAAATCACTAAATGTTTAGAATTACATCAGTGACATTAACTTGGGGAAAATGGACTGGAGGAAGCATAACCCATTAGCGTATGATTTTTTTGACAAACACATTATTGGTAGATAAAACGACTTCCATATGTTGTTTGTCAGATGTCAGTAGAAAGGATATGTATTTCATAGTAAAATCAAAAATAATGGAGTCAGAAAGCTAAGAGGCTACAGACAAAAAAAAAAATCAATACTAACTCACTGCAGAGCAAGTCTTTTTACCGTGTTATAGCGAAAAAAATAAACTAAATCTTGTATTAGGGCTCGTCGAGGCCATTTTTTATAAAAAGGCGATTCTAGCAGCAGTCACAATTACCATTCATGTCACCAGCTCTTTCCCACTGACACTCAGCCGTGGCGGTACCGCGCAGCAGCGTGGCTGGGGGAGCCACCCCACGGGGAGCCGTGGGGTGCTGGGGCACGGGGAGGGCGGTGGCGGCAATGGCGGGCTGCAGCCTGCGCCCGGCCCGGCCCCACAACCTCCCCCTGAACACCGCCCGGGTTTAAAAACATCGCTATTCATGCCCCTTACCGTAAAACTGATTCTATTAGGGGAACATTTAGTTAAGGTAATTTTATTGTAATCTAAGGATTTTTTGCCCCCGTTACCCCAGGCACGGAGGATTTAACTGGGAACACTGTCCTTCAGAGATGATTCAATATTTTACACTTCCCATCTCATTTACATCTTTCCATGTATATATAAATATATATACATCCTTTATAGCTGCTATTTTCATATTGAATTAGTCTGTATTAGCAATAATTTGAAATGTCACTTTAGAAATAAAACGTGTATTAATCCTTTAGACGCAGTCCAAAAATTTCACACGTACAATAATTAGACACACCAGAGAATCAGATAAAAGAAAAAGTAACTTGCCTGCAAGCTCTGCAAAAAATATTCCCATTTCTTTGCTTATTTCTAAAGACAAAACTGGTGATGAAGCCCGCTAAGAATTTAACAAGCATTGAAATAGAAGCATTAAACGACTAATAATATCTTGTGAATGACCCATTAAATAAAAACGTATTTTAAGTATTTCTTGTATAATCTTTAGGTGTAAATTTGTAATGCGTACTGGATTCATTGCTAATCTATAATCCTGACCATGAACATGAATCCATGCCTTTACCTAGAGAGTTTTCTTTCAAGCGGGTCTAACTTAAGAATCAAAGCAATGACATAATAAACCTAAAATATTCCTCAGAAAAAAAGTTTCTTCATAGTTTACTAATTATATTTAAGGGGATACAGCCGGTTAATTTCACTGACCTATTTATGCTTTGAAATACTTACAGAAAAAAGTTGCTATTTTTTCTGCTCTTTTATTTATGAGTTGAGGATTAAAAGAAGAAAACACAAATAGATACCAGACTAAACAAACCAACTAAAGAGGAAAATATTTTCCCCTTCATCCCATTTTATTTAGGGTTAGCTTAGGTGACACTCTATAATTTTTATACAACTGTATATATACAACTGTATGGATACAGTAACAACTGCGTTACAGAACTGTATGTTTTTTCAACAGAACTGTGGTTTTTCACATGCCCGGTGCTTTTTAACTGCTTCCTATTTTTACTTAAGCTGTGCAAATTGACATATTGAAAGAAAAATGAAGTTTTCATCTAGACAATTTGCAGTGGAGAGACAAAAAACTACATGGCTTTGAGACATATTGTCTTCTACAGTGCATT